GCGGCTATTAGTCCATGTTGAAGACCCACTGGTTATAACGTGAAATAATTTAAAAAATAATTTGATTTTGAGCAAAGTTTTAATTATGAAAATCCACTTAAATGAGAATGATACGAACTCAACAAACAGATTTAGGTGGATGTAAGAACTTTCCATAACAAGCCTTCTGTTTAGCAAATTGTAAAGAACTACATGAACGAAATTGACAGGCACAAGTCAACTGGTTTTAATTTAGTCCTATTAGAAGGGAAGGGGTGAGACTAGCTGATTTTTTTATAGGCATTGATAAAGAAAGGGTATTTTAACTTAGAGGAATTACAAAGTGAATGGGCAGATGGATTATGAATAGGGTAATTATATAATTTGTTTCTCAAATTAGGACACTTTCAAGGCAAAAGGGTAAAAGGGGATACTATTATCAATAATTGCATGGGACAATAGGCATAAACCAAGTCTACCCTTGGTAAACCAGGGCATGTGTAACTTAGCTATAAACAGTCCCCACCCCATGGTGAATATTGTCAGGATAAAATCATTAACAAGAAGTTTCGGAACTGGGGTTGGTTGTTTTTCTCCATTGCACTGAGCAGATTGGAGAGAGGAGCACTATGGGACTCCCAGGAGGCCATTACACAGTGAGCTGAAGGGGACAACTCCACAGGAGGGATGCAGGAATGCTTCCCAGTTTCTCTGAAGTGAAATGACATGTGCCTGAGCTGTGCTTTCGCAGAGAGGCTACAGCACCAGACACACCAGTCTGCTATGTCAAGTGCAGAGATCAGTGACTGTGAATAAAAGCTTCAGGCCAATGTCAACTTACCAAATAGAGTTGCAAACAGCTCCCAGTTCTCCAAAGGCTACACACATAAATCAGAGAGCAATCTTCCAATGTCGGCGGTGTGGGGAGGACTGGCCACTTGTCACACTTCAGTGCCCTCAGCCACAGTTTCACACGTGGAGAGTAATTACAGCTAGTGGTGTCATCTGAGAGTGATGGTGGCGAGAGTAGAACTTGATGAGATGAATGGAAAGAATTACACACACCCATGTCTAGAGATACAATTTATCTTTTGCCTAGGATCATAAGGATCATAAGGAATCATTTAAAGATATTTTCTCTTTGAGGTGCTCCTACTCTTGATTTATATAAAGTACCTTATTTCCAGCATATCCCTAGCGCCTGTTTATAGAAGTCTATTGTAGCCTTATATTCTCACCAGGGTAAGAAGCCTAAGGAAATTTTAAGTGAATTCCTTGGAAAAGTCAGTGTTTACAATGTCATGTTATTAGGGTGGTTGTAAATTCTGAAAAAAAAAAAAAAAAAAAAAAAAAAGTATCAGTCCTCCCTAAGGTATTTCCCCTCCCAGGGAAATACCTACCATCGGGAAAGATACTGTAACATTTAAGACAGGAAGTCAAAAGCAGATCTGGCACAGTTTTACCATCAACTGTCTCCTGAGTTCAGCTCTGTGAGGTTTTGGGCCCCAGATGTCACATGGTGGCAGGTGTGACCTTTTATGACTGCTAGACAACTGGCTTTGCAATTAAAGTGTCATTGAATTTTTGGAGGGTCTGCCATAAACTTTGTAGTGCTGGTTTTTCTAATGAAATATAGCTTTTTGCTGTTTCCTTATGGAAATAGAAAGAGACTGAAATAGAAGTTTTTCATGTGAAAGCAAGAAGTGTAAAGTATGTTTACTTACTTACATTATGACTGCTACCTTCTTTAAACCATATGATTGTCATTAAAGGAAATGGTGTCAAGTAGTGGTATTAATTTTGTGCTTTTTGCAAGAAATGTGAAAAAAAATTGACCTAATACTATATTTATTGACTGTGAGTCCATTTGCATTATGTGTTATTCACTTATTATATAAAATTCTGTGTTATCAATTTACAAAATAATCCTGGAACTTGCATCATTCACTGAAGGTTCTGATATATGAAGACACTGAAAGACAGTAGTGTAATTGTGTTAATATTTTAAACTAAATAATAGGAGACACAGAAGCCAGTTCATTATTATTGCTATCGTGGTACTCACCCTTGGAAAATGTATAAATCCCATAGCTGTCTACAGTACAGCCTTTCCTCTGTAAATACTCAAAAAAGTGTTTAAAAATTAATTTTGTTTTAAAACTCTGGCAAAGCTATTTCTTATTATGGGGAAGTAGCATTTTCCATGGCCAGATTTACTTTATGATATTTTCCCTCTGATTCTGATAAAAGGATAGATGAATATTCTACTGTTCAATTTTCAAAGCATGTTATTTCCAGGAATGAGACTTTTTCTGAAGCCTATTCAGTTCCCTTTGCCAATTAAAAATGCAAATATATGTAGTTTTATACTTTTCAGAGTGGCAGTGAGATTTTAAGCAAATGGAGTCTCAACCTGCAGTGGTACCAGAAATGCTTGTGGTTATATTATGTCCTTCTGCTTAGGGGAAGCTTTTCTAGGTTTCATTTTATTCTATCTGTGTTCTCCCATGTACAAACATTTAATGATTACTTGCTAGTTTGAAGTTTTAATTTTGGATTTAATATATCAAGCACCCATTCATTTTATTAAAAAATTGATTTTTGATGTTTTATTCTTACCCAGAGAATAGCAGATCAATCTTGGTTGACAAGTGCATGTCACACTGAAATGATGCAAAATTTAGACTTTCTCAAAGGATATTCCCTGGTTAGCCAACCATATTTATAGCATCCTCAGAGATCAGGACAAATCTGAGGTTTTTAGGGTTTAGAACACAGGGTTGTCTCTTTGGTACAATTGTAAGTAACAGTCCACTGTTTAATGACATAATGTGAATTTTTATAGGCCCATCTAAGTCTCCAGCTAGTTTGCTGTCTGAAAACTTGAGATAAATCTTCACTGACTCTTTAGAAATGTTCAACATACAGGTTAATTTCTCCCTATTGATTTTCTCAACTATGCATCTTGAATGCTTCAAGATCTCTTGACCTTTACCAAATATCTTTGCGACAGTTGATTTAAAAAGAGTAAGACTTTAGACTTCAAACAAATGCTTAAAAAATCAGTTAAGATGGTGAAATAACTCTCCCTCAGCTATTAGTAGGGCAGTTTAACTGTACATTTTGATTAGGTTTTGAGGGGAGAACACAATTGTGAACATTTGCAAGAGGAAGCTTCATATATTAAAGTTTCTAAACATGAAGGCTATTTTGGGGACATCACCAGGGAAGCGTAGTGTTCTTATATGATGTCAGAAAATTTCAAGCTAAATCAGAGTAATAATCTCAACGATCTTGGACAACAAAATGAGGAAGTACAGTGTTGGACAAACAACATGACTAAAGATCAAAAGACCCATCAATCCCATCAGGAATTGAGCCTCTCTGAGCTTTTGTTTATCTAAAAAATGGAACAAGACAAAAGGGGTAGATCTTGTGAGTCTTTCAGGTTCTAATAGTAAGTAGTCTATATCTAAGGCAAGATTAACAGGAAAATCAGATTAACAGAAAGGCAATAGAAACAAGGTAAAAACATTCTTATATCTGAAAGAACTTTAGAAAAATAGAATACACATGGATATTTCCTGTAGAGATGGATCTTGAAACCTGTATATTCTTCCCCAATTAATCATTATGGAAAAGTAAACAAATCTTTTAAAGATTAAATACTCCCTTTAGTTTTTGAGTCATTTCTTTCTTCTGAAATATTGCCCCATTAAGAGAAAATGGCATCAGAAGCACTTTATTAATGGTAATACTTCTTAAGGGCCTCCAAATAAAACAATAACATCATTAATATCAACAATATAAAAAACAAATGTAAAAATCCCCAAATAATTAAATAAAACCACTTCTAAATTCCCAGCACTGATTAAATAGAATTGAAGTAAACAAAGACATTTTCATATGTCATTTGGAGTGTGAATTTATTTGGGTTTAAGACTCTCCTAAACAGTTATATCAACTTCACTCCATTTCCTTCCTTAGTAAAAATTATGACTGGACAAACATCAGACTTTTAAAATTCTAAAAATAATAGAAAAGTAAAAATTGATTTCCTAGGGAAATCTCCTCCCTAAATTTCTATGGTTTTGCTGCTTCTGTGAAATCTTTCTTTGGAGTTATGTGATAGCATAGTTTTGTTTTTGTCTCTGTTTTTAACTGAATTCATACAAGGGGACTGAATCAGACTCTCAACTGACTTATGGAATATGAACTTTTATGAACAATAACTAACTTCTGCTCTAAAGGGAAAATGACAAATATAAATGAAAGAATGGGAAAACTGGAAGTCCATTTTATTATGTAACTTAAGTCATTTTATATATATGGCACCCTTGATTAAAAATAAAACAACCGGAATGGTATGAGCACTCTAAAATCATCTGCAGCACTTTTAAGGGTTAAACCTGCTTAACTCATTCTTAGTCAGAGAATGGCACCTAAGAGGACAGCTCACCCCTTAAGCGTGGCTAGTTCTATACCAGTGGTATCCTCAGTTGTTAGAGCAGTCATGCACTCTACTTCCACCCCCCTCCCGCCCGATTAATAGGATCCATTCATAGCTACTCACTACTGCAGGATTTGACCTGAGAAATGCTAGGATTTATTAACTCAATAGTTGTTGTGAAAAGTCCCTAGATAATCTTCACCCTTGGCCAGCAAGGGAACTGCTAGTCTCGAGTTCTCAGAAGCAGCTGGTGAGGTTCTTAGCCAAGTTCTTCAGGAGCAGGAAGTTCCTGAGGACAACCTACTTTGACGTGGCATTTACAAATCTTTAAACCAGGCTTCCTGGATCTAGGATACGTTATTCCTGACTCCTTTGACCCAGATGCTGGCTAACATTTAGTTCACAATCTGTAGATTGTCTTTTTCTTTCCTTTCTTTTTCTTTTTTTCTTTCTTTCTTTTCTTTCTTCTTTCTTTTTTCTTTCTTTCTTTCTTTTTTCTTTCTTTCTTTCTTTTTTCTTTCTTTCTTTCTTTCTTTCTTTCTTTCTTTCTTTCTTTCTTTCTTTTTTTTTCTTTCTTTTCTTTCTTCTTTCTAGGACCTGGCATGGTGGCTAAATTTTTCTAAAACAGTCATGTTAATGTGTTCAAAAATCCACTGCTGAGTCTCAGATAGGGGGTCACATCTGGCCATGAAAATCTTCTTTTCTGCTGGGTTGGAATCCATGCAGCTGTTGCTCACAGGATGAAATAATGTTCTGTCCTGGAAGGATCAGAAAAAAAGACTGCCATAATACATGATGAATAGTTAAAGCATGAAAAATGCACCAGTGAAATATTTGAGTACACATCCAGAGCATAAATAAACCAGATAAACTGAATCAAACAATAGCAGACTGACTTGTCAAGGAACCACACCATTTTCTAGGATCTTTTGGTACTATGTAGGGGCTCCAAACAGGTTCAGTCAGACAGAAGATTCACTTATTCATTTATGCACCCATTCATTCATTTTTGAGAAAGCAATCCATTCATTTCCTGGTCTGTGCCCTTATCTTTAGATTTTGGAGGTAATTATCAAAGTTAGTTGGGCTTATTTGTCAAGTGGCTAATTGCCTAACAATTTGGAAAGAAACATGTACACAAAAACTGTAATTTAGCCCACAGTGAGCACACACACCCACACCCACACCCACACCCACACCCACACCCACACACACCTCGCAGAGTCAAATCATCTTTATTCTCACATTGAATCTCTAATGGCAAAGAGAAATACGATGGAAATAGGATCCCAAATGCCAAGCGCTCAGCTGCTGTCTTCCGAAAACGAATGTGGAGATGGGGTGGAGATGGGGACAAGTGACACCCAGACAGCAGCTAAAAGTACAAAGTCAAATTTGTTAGCTCTCAAGCTTCAGTCTCTTTTCAACCCCTTTTCGGATGTCACAGGTGTTCCAGTGGAACAGTTCTCACAGCTTTCTGTGAAATGCAGGCAACATTCACTTACAAAAAAAAAGGCTGAGACAGGTGACACAGTTAATAGGTCAGTGAATAAAAGGTCTTGCAGTGCACAAAATTGAAGTACTGAGCACACTTCCTACCTGCACAGGCTTTATTAACATATTCTTCTTTATACAAAGGTCAGGATAATGGAAACAAAGCTTTCCTTAAATAGCATCAAGCTTTTACCTGTATAGTATTTAAGACTTAAAAAAAAATGCCAATAGTATGAGAAAACTTCATTAAGTCACTGCTTAAATTTTAGGACCAAAACATGTTTAATTATTTAGCTTAGGACGAGATTAGATGTTCTGGCTCTTTTTCCTTGAGGGAGGAATACTAAACGTACAATGCTTTTAGAAATAGGAGTTTCTCAGCCACCCTTTGTAAACACTTCTGGGTTGTTCCTGGACGTTAATATTCCATCAAACCAATATTTAATATCCTTTTAGGATCCGGATGTTTGCACAGTGCAGTGCTACACAAAGGAAAGGAGAAATAAGGAAGGAGCAAGGCAGCATGCAGGCAAGTTAGTTATGTTTTATTTTTAGTGTCAACAAAGAGCCTAATACAAAGGCTCTCGCTATTCTTTTCTGCTGTCTTTAAAGGCAAAGTTTCCTGAGTTATTGTGGGTTTTACTTCCTTACACAAAAGGACTCCTGAGGCCTCCTTACTATATCTTTCATCTCCTGCTTCGTTAACCCCTCTGGGTCTCTCCGCAGGGGACACGCTGCACAGCTCTCTCCTATTGGGAGCGGAGGTGGCCAGATTGAGGAGGAAGGAGATTGCTCTGCACCTCTCTGCGTGCATTCTTTTTCCTGGACAACAGCCTCCTTCCCTGCCCTCTCTCTCTTTCTGCATCTCTTACACTCAGTCCTCTACCCGACTTCCAGCAGTTTACCTGCATGGACTTAATATTAGATCACTTTCTCAATGTGCATTCTTAAACTCTAATATTCATGAAAACTGTGTGACTTGGTAAATTCTAATTCACTGTGTTCCATCTCATGGACCTCTTTCTCTTCTTTTCCCATTTCCTTCTTATGATTCTTTTTATCACTAGCTTGTGGGACTTGCAGATGCTGTTTCTCCTTCAAAACAGATCTGTCCCTGAAAGCTCAACAAGGTGGAAAGAAACAGAGTAAGACATGTTTCTGTTCTCTTTTCCTTCGCCAACTTGCGTACCTCAGCATGGATATGAAAGCCAAACCAGGTTTTCTCAACATCACTTTCTGAACGATCAGGAAGTAATTATTTTCCAAATCCCATATGGAAACACGTGTTCTGACAAGTAAAAGTATATCCATGGGTACAACCAGGCAGGCTGTGCAAATTCAGCACTACCCTGACAATCCAGAATATGTTTTCTGTGCTTATACTTCACATTTCTGTACTTACGCTTATAAAAGTTGAAAATTTGAATTCCCTTTATCTGTCTAGAGAAACTTCATCAGTAAAATGAGGGGGTGGATTTGATAAAACTTCAAAGCCTCTTTCAGCAGTAAAATTGAATGAACATTTTATTCCAAAGTTCACTAGTGACAGAGACAAATGACAGGGTGTAAAACTAGAGCCCATCCACGCATCCAGCACATCAACAGTCTGATTGTTCCCTTGTTAGAGACTCAGCTCTGCCTGCCCTTGTCTCTGGAGTGTCCGGAGATGAAACTTCTGGGAATATCTTCAGCCTTTGCAAGAGCATACATTTTTCACTTTTGACCTTGGGGGCTGCTATGTGATTGCCATTTTTATGTTTCTACTCAGCCATGCTTTTGGATTACTAAACATCTTTATGGGTGCTTTTCCTGGCTGAAATTAAGTCAGTGGATTAAGCAATCATTCTTTGAATATGGTCTCTTATTCCAAGACAGTCCTTCTCTTCTCTGCCTTTCAGCTCATCTGTCAGGACAATGACGGGTGTTAACAGAACAGAGCGCAGGCTTCTTCCTGTGGAACAGACCGCAGAGTACTTTGGCAAGTTTGCTGTTCCATGACAGCTCTCCTTGGATGATGGTAGAAGATGTTCTTTTTTTGCTTCTAAGTAGGTTGTTCATTGTGCGGACTTGAGGGAAGGTGCACCTTAAGCTCTGGCTGTTCTCAATGTAACAGTTACATGTTACTTTGCCCCTTAACTTTGCTATGGCTTGGACTTGAACTGTTCCCTTGTGTCCTAAAGGCTTGGTTGCTATCTGATGGGATTTGAGAAAAGTAACTGAATCCCAAGGAGCACTCTGACTTCATTAATTGGATTAAGCAATTCATGAGATCATAATTTGATTGTATTTGGGGAGGTGACGGAAACAGGATGTGAAGCTTAGTTGAAGAGAGTGGATCATGTGGACATTAGTTTTGCTGTAGTCAGGTTTTACACAGGAAACAATTGAATACAGGATACATAATTTATAGGATTATTTTATATCATTCACCCTGAGAGTCAAATGCAAAAGATCCCAGGAGATCTGCCCACACAGTAGAGACCCAAAGAATCCAGCAGAGGGCCTGGATCCCATAGCAATGTCCTGTACAAGTCCAGCTGAAGACCCAGAGCCCATAGCAATGCCCTCTACAAGTACAACTGGAGGCCTGGAGCCCATGGCAATGTCTCATGCAAGTCTAACATCAAGGATCTGTACTGGGAAGGCCTAAAGGTCAGTGTTGGAAGCTAGAAAGTCTGTGCCAGTAGGATGAAGGATCTGTGCCAGCAAGGTGAGGGATCCACACTGCAGCCAGGAAGCAACATTCAAAGTAAAGTTCTCCTCAGAAAGAACAGCAGCCATCCCCAGTGACAGTGAGGTCCTGAGCTCCTCTGACAATGAGATCAGCCAAGTTCGTATCAGGAAAGCCAGCACTACAAACTTCTCCAGAAGAATCTGCAGGCCAAAGTCTTCCCCACCAGTTCTCCTTTTATGCTTTTGGCAACAGTCCTCAGGTGGGCCTTCCACACCCAGCACCACGCTGATTCAGTTCAGTTAGGTGTTAAAAGCTGAGCACTAGTTAATCCCCCACAGGAACTACTGACCCCTGACCCCTCTCTACCTGGCTCTTCCTTCCTCTTTGTGCCTCCTGGCTGCTGTGAGTTGAGCAACTTTCCTCCATCCACTCCTGCACCATTATATTCTGCCTGATCCTAGGCCTAAGAGCAACAGCACTGGCCAATTCTGGACTAAAACCTCTGAAACTATGAACCAAAATAAATCCTTCCTCTTCTAAGTGTTTTTCTTCTTTTGTCATACAGTGAAATGTGGGCACACCCTGCCACCTTCCCTAGACGGCTACTCCCTTGTTTTTCATTTTCCCTTTTGAATTTTATTTTGGTTTGGTTTTGGCCTTTAAAAAAATGAGAATTCACTGTGCTAGAAATACATAACTTCAGATCTTGAATTTTTTTTTTTTTTGGTCTTTTTGAAATAGGGTCTCACTATGCAGTTCAGGCTGACCTTGAACTGACTTTGTAGCCCTCTCTGTCCTCGAACTTGCACTGATGCTCCTACCTCAGTCTTCTGAGTGCTGGGATTACAGGTGTGCATCACTACATCCAGCCTGATCTAGAATTGTTGAATTGACCTTCATAATCAATGCCTGAGTCTACCTAATCAGCCTATGTTGAAAAAACATGAGTGGGACTTTTCAGATAGCTCACTGAAAGAGACATTTCAAATTAACCTAGGGACTTCACTGACCTCTGTGAGATGCTTTGTGGCATTCACGCCTCTGCACTAAAGTTTATTAGGCTCCCTACCTTAGCATCTGAACATTAAAAGAGGGGAGTAAGTTGTAGAAAACATTCCAGACTATGGTGGGGGTCATAAAAGAACCAACACCAAAGATGACAAGATAACAAAATAGATGTGTAAGTGGATAATAGACCGTATAGGAAGATGGTTCTGAGAATAAATCAACCACAGAGCAGGAGGACACGCAGCAGGCTGCTAGGAGACGGGCTTTGCATTTGCAGCCATAAGGCATTTGGATCACTTATTAATTGACATGGGACAAATTATTTAATTCTGTGAACCTCAGCTTACTTATCTTGTGAAACATAGGTAATAACATACCTCACACATTGTTGTGAGGCTAAAATGTAAAATCACTGGTACAACGTCCTGCATATATTAGCGGCCGAGTAATGATGACTCTACTTTCCGCTTATTTAGTTTTAGTCAGAAAGCCTCCTCAGTTCCAAACATCAGACTTCACTCACCACCTGGCCCGAGACCAGTTATTCATCACCAAGCTGTATTTTCTGACATCTTCGGCAAA